GGTAAATTCTTAAACATGCATCAAAGAAGGGGAAACAGAATACCTTAAATAAGCCCCTAGGTGTCTACCACCCAGAATCAACATACAGCACCCTGCTCATTTTATCACTTTCCTGCCCGTTGTCTTTTTCCTTCTAGAGTACTTTCGGACAAATCTCAGCCAAATTTCAACCACAGTTGCTTCAGTGTGTATCTCTAACAGGTAAGGGCTTTGAAAAGTCACTATATATACCATGTTTCACTCTTATTTGTCCTGTGGAATTTCCTATCTTCTGGAGTTGGCGTATTGCTCTGCATGTGGATCCATCTCTAGTGCTTTCTACAAACTCATTAAACGCACAGGCTCAATTACATTCAAGTTGTTTTGCTTGCTATTGTAACGTATCAGTCACATGATTGATACCTGCTTGTTTCTCTTTCAGCAATGCTAAGATTGATAACTGTGTTCAGATAACATCACAGAGCCACCCTTTTCCCAAGTTTTCACATAATACTTTCAGCAACTTAGTCCAGTATTTCATTAGGGGCTGAGGAATGGTGATGTTCTAATCTTATCATTCCTGTGGTACTTAGTTATGACTTTTTTTTTTGGTGGTACTGAAATTTGAACTCAGGGTCTTGAGCTTGCTAGGCAGGCGCTTAACCCTTAACCCCCCACCTTCAGCCCTTTTTTGCTTTAGTTTTTTCAGGTAGGGTCTCACATTTTTGACTGAGGCCAGCCTTGGACCTCAATCCTACCTAAGCACCCCCAAATGGCTGGGATTATAGACATGCTTCACCACACCCAGCTTGGTGTTTTGAGATAGGTTCTAAGTTTTTGCCAGGGCTAGCTTTGAACTGCAACACTGCCATCTCTGCTTCCTGAACAGCTGGGATTATAGGCATGCACCTTTACCCCCCTTCCCCAGTTAAGACTCTTACGTGAAGCGTTTTCCCTCATCAGGTTAACCTGATTCAAAAAGAAGTCTAGTTAAATACTTCTTTTTTTCTATTAATAGTTAAGTTTGTTTTAGTTTTAAAAGTTGCTTTTAATTACATAAAACATTGACAGGATCCCAAAGTAAAAGATACACAAGACACATATCCAGTCACCATCACTGTCCATCACCATACCAGTACCTCCAAAGGTACAATTTTGCTAGTTATTGGTATAATTTTTTCATTGCTTCAAAAAAAAAAAAAAAAGCAAACATACATTTTTCTGCCATTTACCATTCCTTCCTTTCACAAAAGGCAGCATGCCACATGTCCCATTACATTTTTCTCTCCTATGTTTTGGAACTGGCCCCAGAACACAATACAGAATGTCCTCACCCCTTTTTAACAGCTGTATAGTATTCCATCATATGGACGTACCATTTCTTCTTCCATCAATCTTCTCTCAATGGAGATCTGGGTAGCTTCCAATCTTTAGCTGTTAGAAATAGTGCTGTAATGAAGAACTTTGTACACAACCAGTTCATATTCTTACCTGTGACTCTCATGTGTTCTTAGAACTACTAGGTTAAAGGTGAAATGCATGTCTGATTTTGCTAGTTACTAACAAGTCCCATCCACAGGGCCCTTTTTGAGCACCTGGTCCCCCCAAGACCTCCCCTGGCCCGTCAGTGTCATGTCTGACTTGGATTTTCTCCAAGCTGACCAGTAGTAAGGAAGGTGTGCCGGTAGTTTCAACACACTTTTCTCTTACTATGAATCTCCTTAGATACTCAAGGCCATTTGCACTTCGTTTTCTGTGAGGTGTCTCTTCATCTTTTTGCCCATTCTTCTTTCAGGTTTTTCTCAAAGTGTAGAAATTCTTCATATTTTAGGACTAATTAGCCCTTTGTGATAAATGTAAACTCTTTTCCTTATCTTTAAACTTCCTTTTTTTGGTCATCCAAAACAATTCTTTTTACTGAAAGATACGAGCTTTCTTTTTTACTGCTTCTGGACGGCCAGTTCTAGGAAAGATTTTTTCCCATTTTCAGATTAGAGAGAAATTCAGCTATTTTCTTCCAGTCATCTAGAGGTTTTCATTTGTATAACGGGATCTCTGAACCATTCAGATTTTATCCCTGTGTACAACGTGAGAAATGGATCACATATTTTTCCATACTGCTAGGCACATGTGTCTAACACCATTTTAAAAGTCTTTTCCTCCACTGATGGCATGACTCAAGTGGTAGAGCACCTGCCTAGTAAGCACCAGGCCCTGAGTTCAAATCCTGGTACCACCCTCCCCCCAAAACCCTGTTAAGTCTTTTCCTTCATTAGTGAGATGCTGATCAAATGTTGAATTTCTAGATGCTATTGTTTATAGAATGTCATAAACATCTAGTAGGTCATCCCTCCTCTTCCAACATTCTTTTCTAGTCCTTCTGTCTTCTTCCCAACACTTTGGTACAGGAAAACAAAACAAAAAATCCTTACTGCTTTATTGGGATCTGGTATGGTCCTTTAAATGTAAAAGATATGCATGTATACAATTTCAAAAGGGTCTTCTAAATAATATTCTGAAAACAAGCCTAGGCACCTCCCCTCCAACCCTGGCAACTATTTTTTGCAAAAACAGTTTTACAAGGACAAGGAAGAAAACGAGATTCATTTCAAGAAACCGCAAGGAAACTGGTAAAGACACGTGTGGTGGCCACGTGAGGGAAGAGAGGCCTTCGCTCAGAACGAGCGTTCACTGGGGTCCTGCAGTGACTGAAATGAAAAGAGTGCCCATGCTTAAGACTCCAGAAGACACAGCTATGCTGCTGCAGCCACCATCACATAACATTTATTCCAGAAAATAAGGCTAGAGTGTGATGTGCATACCTCAGTAAGTCCAAATACTGCAGTGGAGATTTTAAAGAAAACATTTAGCATATACTGTATTTTTAAGAATTCTAGGGTTATAACTTTCTCTGCTAGTTCAATCTTCACAAAATTACATACATTGTACCCCAAAGAAAAATTTAATTTTTAAAGAGTTACAATAACATTTTTCGAATAAATCAATCAGTAGAAAAATAAGTTTCATTGACAGTTGGGCATATCCACTTTCTGTACAGAAATTTCCTATACAAAAGAAACCAGCATTCACCCACAAAGGATAATCAAAAGAGAGTAGTGTGTCAAACAAAAATATAAAGTACTGCCTAATCTGTACTACTTTCAAGTCTGAATTTGGCCATCCAAAATCCTGACTAAAAAGTAAAGACTATTTTTGTTCTTAAAGCAGAGAACCCTATACTTCCCGGATCTCATTGCCTCTATGCACTATACCCTTGTTCACCTGATGAGTTAGACAGATGGTTCCCTGGGGAGTGCCCGTGTCCTGTAGTGTGATCTGTCTATGGTTTTATAAGTGAGATGATGCTGAAAATCCAACATTCAGTCTTTCTGGTGTTAATCAACAGTGATATAATCTTACATTTTCTAACAACTACAAATTTCCTAGTTAATCATTTAAAAATGTAATAATGCAAACTATCAAACCATCATTTGCTCTAGTTCCCTGTTTTTACTTACATAACCTGCCTTTCTCCCAGATAAGCAATGTTAGTAAAACTTAAGGTAAAGATGCCCTGTTGGTAGCAACCCCATTCAATTTATTTTATAGAGGGTTTTCTCAGTAGCTAGTTACCTCGTGGAGCTTTTTCACAGTTTAAAAGTTTTCCTCATTTTAAAAGCAGAGGAAAGTGCTATACTTGATGGTTGTTACTGTCAAACAGTTCAACCAACATTACAGATTTTTGAAACATTCACTTCAAGTATGTAAATGACTCAATCAATACAACACTCAATATAAAATAAGCCCAGTGGCTGCTCATTTCTGGTGTTATGACTCTTAATAGCACCACCCATTTCTACATTTTAGTGGTAAAATGTAATCCAGTTTTAGCACCCATGTACAAGAGTAAGACGTTCATGAAAATACAGTATGACTTGGCTTACTGGAAGGTAACAGTTTCAATATTCCATGAATGAGGAAATCTGTTCCTGGTTCTTAGAAAAGAATAGCACTAACAGGAAGGAAAAAGGGACAGATTTTTAGTTAAGGCTTCTCAGTACTTAAATCACTTAAGTATTAATGTCATGTTTCCTTAGAAGCACAGAACTGTGTCACACAAAGAAGGTTCCAAGGAGTTACATTGTTGCAGGTCGTATGCCAGGGTGGATCACATTTAAAATGCTGGACAAGGCTTTACAGCCCTGCAGAGGAAAACCAGAAAAATTCATGCTAGTGACTGACTCCCATTCTTTTAATCAAAACTTATCTTTTCACTCTATTTCAAAAATGAAGTGAAGTATTCTAAATAACTGATAAATTTTTATATAAAAATACATCAAATTTGGATTAACTATATCAGTTATTAGACAAAGTAAATAAATGCAAAGAAAATCAAGTGCACCTTACAGTATATAATGTTATAGACCCAGAAATCACTTCTTTAGATTGGCAACACAGACTGCAATATAAGAAGCTAGGTAAAAATGAAAAAAGTCTTAGCTGAAAAATTACCATTTTTCAGTATATCAGAGGGACAAACAACCTTTTATTTAAAGCTATTAAATTTGGAGGCTCTTTTGTGTTTCAATTTTGTGTAGGAGAAAGGAAAGCCATTCTTCTAGAAGGCACTAACTGGTTTAGATGTGCAAGCGACTTCACAGAGAAAATGTGTGCAAAGGATAGTCCAGGAGACTGCTCTTGGGTTTTCTTCCTTACTTTTCATCACGACTGGATTATTATTGAGAACTGTCACCAGGTGTTCTTACAGCGGCGTCGTGTGCTCAGTCCACCGTGTCACAGATCTCCTTTACTTTCTGGTTGAACTCTTCTGGTTGATCTGCATATACATAATGCCCTGCCCCAAGAATAGCCTGGGTGAGGAAAAGTAGTCATGGTCAGTGAGAAGCATCACAGTGATATAGAAGCACATATACTTCAAGATAAAAGTGAGAGCCACTACACTAAAAAAAAAAAAAGATAAAAGAATAAGCAAGATTGAGCTATAGTAACTATGAAGGATTTCTGTCAAAGGATCTGAGAATAAATAAGAAAATCTATTGAGTCTTAGTAAAATTTTATATGCAAAGAAACTCAAAACAAGCACACTCTAACTTGACCACTACACAGAGCGCTAATGTGCGCTTGTGAGGTGGGAGCTGGCTGAGCTGCTTCTGGACCTGTCCCTCTTTTAGTCCCTCTTGTAGACTAGCAAGACCCCTGAGAAAGGTGAGTCACTATACGGACATAATGGTGTGGCTCAAACCCTGTTCCCCGACGATGGGAAGCTGAGACACAAGGATTGCAAGTTCAAGAGTAGCCTGAGCTACACAGGGAGACCCTGTCTCAAAACAAACAACCCCTCCCCCCAAAAAAACAAACCCTGATCTCATTATGTGTGAGATGAAGTCTCTGACTGAGGCTGCAGGTACAGCTTAGACAGGAAATGATGAGGATGACTAGAAACCTCATTTAAAGTAGGTAATAAAACAGAGTTCATCTGTGACTGAAGACCCAATCCAAGCCACACACTTACTATTGTCTTCACATATGAATGTGGTCGCAGTGACTGGATGCTGGTGCCAGAATTGCCATCTATGCAGGATCGGGCACCGAAGATCACTGAGACTGGAATGTCAGGGTCCATTTTACCAATTCGCTGGAGCATGGGCCTTTTTGCCCATCCATAAGGAATAGTCATGTTCTTGAAAGCTGTCTCACCACTTTCAAGGAAAGGAGAAAAACACACTGTAGGATTCTTGGGGATGAGTCTGCATTGCAGCCTCAACTCTATCAAAGCACACCCCTAAGCTTCTCCAGCACTTACGAAAACCTCAGTGAATATAGAGAGTTATTCACTAGATAGTGTAAGGAAGAAATCTCACAGTGGACATAACACTGTTAGATCAACAAGGCTGCTATGTGTACTCTAGTTAATTAAAGGTATCTTCTTCCAATTCAAAATATGTAATTCTGTTTTTAAATATTTAAATTATTTAAGAATAGGTAAGATGTTTTTCACTCTGAAATATCTCAAACTGATATAGATAGAAGGTAGCTTTTCCATGGGTTCATGGCACTAGCTTTTGACCCACAATGGTAAAACCACTACCAAATAAGAGAAAACTCAGATTACATATTTTTGCTAACTCCCAGGAAGGGCCAATTTTGCTGTAATTTCTGCCATACTTGAAGGACTAGGCATCATTCTGAATTGTCTCTTATGGACAATTTGAGTTTCAAAATAAGAAAGGCAACACTTATGGACTACACAGGCAAATATAATCACAAAATGAGAGGAACTGCAGAGTAAAACACTAAGATTGTGCAGGAAAATGCACTGATATTCCTGCAACAGGCCCCTAAAAACTGCTAAACAGGTCAATAAAGTGTGCAACTGAGTCATAAAACTTCAACCTCTTGGATTGGGAACCTCCAGCCTTCCTCATTCTTGGCAGAAAACCACTAACCTACTTTATTAAAAAGACTGAGGCTATAGTTACACCTACCAATAGCTTCATGACCTAATCTGCCTAATAGGCAGGTTACACAGTTTCTGCCAAAAGTGAGGGAGGGAGGAAGAAAGAAGGCAGCTTGTTTCTGCATCTAGCCTCTCAGCCTGTACCCAGGTCTGTCTTAGACAGAATGAAGTAGCACTTTAGTATGGTTCAAGGTCCTCCTATACTAGAATCACCTGGAGTATCTGTCAGAGATGCATCCTAGAACCACTGAATCAGTCTTAAAAGGAGGGCTCAGGAGTTGCTTTTTTAACAAGCTCCCCAATAATTCTGGTATACAACAAAGCAAAGAACTGTGGCTCTCATCCCATTTTTGATGCTCTTCCTTTCTTAGAAACTCTAAAGCCCACTATCTTCAGACTCTGCTTTCTCTCCTGCTACCTTGCATCTAACACTCATAAACCAGGCTTAAAAATGAATATATTTTGTTTCCTTGTTTCCTATGGCTACTGTGCACCCACCTTCATACTATCCTTCTCCTACCTCTCCTCCAATTCTGTCAGTGTACGTGCAGAATTCACTCTCCCCTCCACCCAACCCTCACCCACTGAAGCTGTTTCTCATGCTGATATAGAAATGTTAAGAGTAGCTCAATAAAAAGGGGGAGTGTGTAATTGTTAAGTGAACTTGAAAAAAGCTGTACAGCATTTCCCATGCACTTGGGAACTTCAATACCCTTACTATATGTAGTAAAAGATCCATGATACAGAAAACCAGTTACTGTTCGGCACCTCCATCTTTTGTGGAACAGTCATACTCAGTTTCAGAAACACTGTCTTATGTGAAATTCTTTTTTATCTCACCACCTCCTAGAGACTCCTAAGATCAAGACTTCGTCAACTTATCCATAAGAACTTCAGGGGAAGAAAGTACACTTCCCCATGAAAACCAGCACAATGTTTTACATAGTAAGTACTCTAAGAATAGATAAACAATTATCAATTATTATACATATGTCCTTTTAAATCTACTTAACTACTGATAACCTGAACTACTCACCTATTTTCAAAAAGAAAAATTTAAAGTACAAACACAGCAAATTTAGAATACTGAATCTTACCTTGGAGTCTGTACATTACAATGATAGATGTATTCTGTCACAGTGTCGTCTTTAAACATTGAAGAATACTTCCGTTTGAAGTCAGGCCTTAAACGCTGCACTAGACTTAGACCTGTTTAATAGAGCATAAATGATAGCATATGCACTAAATGATATAGAAAGTTCCTGTGCTTGTTCATATAGCACATGTGAAATGCATACATTTTAGGTGGGAAAAAAAGCACACATCTTGGAAGCTGCTCTCCTCAAGTTCCCTAAGGGAGAGTGAAGTAAGAACATTGACTTGCACATGTGTTTTAGGAGTTCAAAGACATATTAGTTCTCTAGGACTTGCTTTGTATGAGAATAATAAAGAATTTATTATTATGTTAATTTTAACATAACATTAACTTATAACTTGTATTCCCTTCATGATTACAACAATGAAGCAAATTGGGATATATGAATATTTCTGTGAGAAATACTCAGTTTCTGTTTGGGACCTCTAACACTCCTTCCTGAGATCATCCAGGTGGCTCCACACTCCTACTCCTGAGGAGTGAAGCAAGGCCCCAAGGATGAAGCATAGACACTTCTTCAGGCCACAGTTTTTCATTCTGGTGGCCCAGGCACTGGCAGTGTCTTGCTGTTGCCCAGGCTGGCCTCAAACTCACAGTAGCCCTTCTTCACCTCCCCAGTGCTAGGATTACAGGTGGGAATCGCCATACCCAGCAAGGTTTTACGTCTTTATTGGCCCTCTCTTCCTATCTCTGAAGAAATCACATGCTCCACCAAGGATTTTATGATGCAATTGATATTCTACATCACCTCTGCCAACCCCAAGTGTAAGCAATAATGGAAGACACAGGGCATGGTGTTACAGATCCTTTCAGATGTCTCCTCCCTCACCCCTTACTGCCTCCTCATTTCTTTTCATACTTCACTTTTCCCATAATTGCTATTTGTGTGCCTGCAATCCAGTGGAGTTCATTTGCCTTTCCAGACTGTACAGATGAAATGAAGCTCTTCACCCAAGGAGGATCTGGTACACAGGAGTGGTTCTACTTGAGAGAAATAAAAGACTTGGGATAGGTAAAAGAGTACTGAGGGAGTGTTGTGTAGTTACCAACTTGACCCTGTGCTCCCTTCTGAATGTTGTAATCCCACTGTTCTCCTTACCTAAAGGGATGGCCACAGAGCAAGGAGGGGCTAGGGCTGAGCACAGCGAACAGAACTGAGTCATCTGTACAGTAGTCATTTCCACACCCTCATCCACCTCCCACACCTCTCTCCTTTTCTTGCTTACAGAATCCTACTTGTCTTATAGAACTGATTAGGTAGAATTGTGCCTAGGAAGGGTGGCCCTTCCCTTTAGATCTGGAAAAAATCATGAATAGTCTGTAATAGAAACCTATTTTTTTTGCTGGTGGAAGAACTAGGGGTAGGCAGAGATGGAATGGGAGGTCTACTGGCGCCTTCTTCCCTGATAAACAGCATTCTAGAGAGAAGGACCATTTTCCATACTTTCTTTTTTTTTGTTTCAGATGCTGTTTTGTGAGATAAGACTACTTGTCAAGGTAACCACTGAATAACAACAAGGAAAAGGTCAAGAGAATCACAAAAGAAACCAGCCTTAACATCAATGAAATCATCAACTCCAGACTTCTTTTTTTTTTTTTTTTTTCATTTTTCTTTTATTATTCATATGTGCATACAAGGCTTGGTTTATTTCTCCCCCCTGCCCCCACCCCCTCCCTTACCACCCACTCCACCCCCTCCTGCTCCCCCCTTCAATACCCAGCAGAAACTATTTTGCCCTTATCTCTAATTTTGTTGTAGAGAGAGTATAAGCAATAATAGGAAGGAACAAGGGGTTTTGCTGGTTGAGATAAGGATAGCTATACAGGGCATTGACTCACATTGATTTCCTGTGCGTGGGTGTTACCTTCTAGGTTAATTCTTTTTGATCTAACCTTTTCTCTAGTACCTGGTCCCCTTTTCCTATTGGCCTCAGTTGCTTTAAGGTGTCTGCTTTAGTTTCTCTGCATTAAGGGCAACAAATGCTAGAGGCACCTGCACATCCATGTTTATTGCGGCACTATTCACAATAGCCAAGTTATGGAAACAGCCAAGATGCCCCACCACTGACGAATGGATTAAGAAAATGTGGTATCTATACACAATGGAATTTTATGCAGCCATGAAGAAGAACGAAATGTTATCATTCGCTGGTAAATGGATGGAATTGGAGAATATCATTCTGAGTGAGGTTAGCCTGGCTCAAAAGACCAAAAATCGTATGTTCTCCCTCATATGTGGACATTAGATCAAGGGCAAACACAACAAGGGGATTGGACTATGAGCACATGATAAAAGCGAGAGCACACAAGGGAGGGGTGAGGATAGGTAAAACACCTAAAAAACTCCAGACTTCTTGTTAGGAAACAATAAAAGGCCCTATGGTTTAAGCCATTTAGTTACGTATTCAGTTACTTATAGCTAAAAGCACTCAAGTTGTAAAGGAGAAATGCAGAGGCACAGGCCATCATTATCTGTGGCAATAAGGGAAGAAAATTCCCATGGCTAAGTGCTGAGACACAGAAGCTAGGATTCAGAGACTAAACACTGATACCTCAAAATATGACCTGAAATATATATCGGGGGAGGGGAGTGTCTTCAAAATGTTTGTGGAAAGAATGACATTATCTTCCCACCACACTGAAATCATAGAGAAAGGAAAGAATCTGTGAGTATGGTGGTCAGTATCTCTTATCCTCACAGTTGATTGAGTGAGATTTTGCAATCTCCCATCAGTCTTTTATAAACTGGCCAGTTGCTCTCAAATGGTCACCAACAGGTCAACATGCTACACTTCTCCCCATGCCCTGGGCTCCAGATATACTTCCCAAGACACACTGCTGGCTTGGCCTTTTTTTCAGAATGTTAAAGACTGACTGACTTCATCCTTAGCATTTCCCTCCTTCTCTGACTTGCTAATAACTTATAATGTTTGCAATATAAAGTCCTCTGTAGGAGAAAAGCTGGTTTCATTCATCTTTGTGTAGTCTGGTACTTACTAGAAGAGGACAAGAAAGAGTAAGAGCTGAGCCTTGTTTGTTTTTCGGATTTTGATCAACACTGGTGATCAGCAAATACAGATGGCTGCGTGCTTATGGTGGTTCGACTTACGATGGTACGGAAGTGATATGTAGTCAGTACAAGTCATATTTGAATCTTGAGCCTTCTCTGGGTGTGATATATGGCACGATACTTTACTGTGAAGCTTGGCAGTGGCAGTGATCCACAGCTCTCAGTCAGCCATGTTATCACAAGGTCAAAAAGCCAGTGCTCTAAAGTGTACTGTGTTGCTAAGTCACAACGTTTGTATTAAACGTATTTTTGCCTTAATGTGTTTCCGGCTTACATTTACCAGCTGTAACCCCTTCTAAGTCGGGAGGTGTCTGCACTACTCTACAGCTGACCTGTAAGCACTCTGTTTTCTGAGACTACGCACTCACCAAAGGGTCCTGCAATCCTGAGGCCGGCCAGAGGGTTAAAGGGAGTTAATGCTGCTCCTAAGGCTCTGATCCAAACAGGAATCGGCCTGTCTTGGTCAGCAAGGTCTGGTCGCTCAGGAAAGCCCCAAGGTTCCACTAAAATGAGGTGACCAACCCTGTTGGAGAAAGAAGAGATTTAAGTTCGTTTGGTGAATTTATCCTAAAACTATAAAGAACTAGCAAATTTACAGATCAAAGGTAGAAGGAGCCACCTGCAAAATCTTTCATGTTAAAGAGAAGACAAATTGCTGAATGGGTCATGCCATGCTCTTTACTGCATGTAATACTTCAGACCCAGTCGTACTTAGGAGGAGTATTTTTGGGTAAAGATGGCTTTATTTATAATATATCTAAGTCAGGATAACAAAAGATGGATGAAGGTAGGGCATTTAATTGTGTTTTTCAGAAAAGGACAAGACAAGAGAGGAGGGGGGGAGAGGAGGGGAGGAGAAGAAAGGAGAGGGGAGGGAAGAAAGCATTTGTTTAAACTATACTTTGGCAGATGATACAGAGCAATCATTCTAAAAATTTAAGAGAAGTTAGGACTTAAAATAGGCTCAAAAGTACTTTAAATTAAATGAATTTTTAAAACAAACACGAGAATAATTTAAACAGACTGAAAATATAACCTTTATAGTTTGGGAGCCTGAAATCTGGTGAAAAGAAACCTGTCTATCTACCATACTTACTGGTATTATAATCTGTTTCTAATCCTCTCCCAAATTTCTTCTTTACTAACTAAACAGAGTCATTACAACTTCAAATAAAATTATCTCATACCATTAATAGTTTCAACTTTTCCATTTTACGAAACTTGTTCCCGAAAAAGAAAAAACAGAATTACTTCCATGTGGCTGTGTTATGCTTTTGTATGTCATAAAGATTCTAAACCAAGCACAAAGGTCTTCCTGACACAATACAATATTCAACTCTAAATAGCCAACAAACGCCAGGCAAAATCTCCCAAGGATGAATTGACAATGGTTCTAAAGTCCCTTTCCTAAGTCATAACTGAAACAGAAAGGGAAAAACTAAAAAACGTGCCAGATGGTATTATTCCTTATATAAAATCTGCTTTTAATATTTCTATCAGCACATGTAAGCATGAGTCAATAATGAGTTTCTTATTTTGACTGTATTTTCTTTAACAGCTTTAGAACAGTCCCACGGCAGAGAGCTCTATGGCCCATGGAGAATCCTCTAATCATTCACCATGGATGGGAGGGAAGCTGAGACACACTGTGTAATCACACCAGGATGCAATGCTAGTTAACAATAGGACTAAAACCCACATTTCCCCCATGACAGCATATAAACAAATGGCAGCAAGTTATTGCACAGGCTTTCTTTCCTAAAAACATCCAAAGCATCATGAAGGGAAAGGTAAAGCTTCATTCACTAATGCTAGGCCAGTCTAATGCTGACCTCTGGATTGCACAGCATGAGGAGACCTAAGGAATATGACTATGAATCTGTGTGACGACATGGGCCCTTGAGTGTTCCATATACTTAGTGTGCTTTTACAACCTAAAAATTTTATATGAGAATATTTGTAACAGTATATGAGAAAGAGACTGGAAATCAGTCTTTTTTTTTATTATTAAAAAGACTATCTCTTACATTATAACCACTTCCTAAATTCCTTTTGTTATAGCCCACAACATTAAGGAAGGGGTAACAGGAGGCATGCCAGAGATATGAATGGAATTAATGAAATAGCCACGTACCTGAAGGCAGCGAAAATTCATGTTGGGAAACGACCAGTATTACTCATTACTGACTTCTGTCCTAGAGAGAGCAATCAGCTCTTGATTAAAATATAACCTATCATGCTGGTGTGTGCTGGAAGCTGAGGCAAGAGGATTGTGAGTTTGAGGGCAGCTGGGCTACAAACAGCCAACTAACTAACTAACTAACTGTGTGTGTGTGTGTGTGTGTCTGTGAGTGTCTGTGTGTGTGTACGTACTGTAAAAGAAGGTGAAACTTTTGTTACAAATTTGTTAAGGGACTTTGTCCCGAAAGAGCTCTAGGCTCTTTCTAACCTGCTGACCCAGGATGTAGAGGACAAAAGGGAAGTCTCACCTTCCTCCAGATGAGTCTTTTTGTTTCTGCTTTAATACTGTCTTGGCTTGCTTAAATATAATCTTCAAAATATCATCCCTATATGAAAATACCAGCTTCAAAAATTATGCAAACTGTGCATACTAGGGTAGAGTAACCTTTTTTTGTTTGGTTTTGAAAAGAAAGAAGCTGCCCCTAGACATATCCAACTCTGTGTCTTCAGAACCTGGCCTCATGCTCCAGCACATGGCAGATCCTCAGATTGTTATGCTTTCCATGGCTCCTTTGGGTCCTCATCTATAATCACATACAAATTCTATAAAGTACAGTCATAGAGTGAGCCTAGTTAGTCCAACCTGGATTGCTCTGATCCCCCGATGACACTGGGACACTGCTGCTTATTTGCTATATTAATCTCTCAGGTCACTCCTCATTAGTGAGTAATAAAACCAGTTTAGTGGGTAAAGAGACAGTGTGGATTTTTTTTTTCTGTGTTAAATAAATTTGTATTATTTGGAATGGAAAACATATCATCTTCAATATAATATAAGCATGAGTATTGTCCCACAAAACTTTCATCTCAGATACACACAAACATAGAAAATTCTTACTGAGGCTTATAATAAAAAATGTTTTTTAAAAAGAAGGTTTTTTGGCAGCACTGGGGATTGAACTCAGGGCCTCACACTTGCCAGCCAAGTGCTCTACCACCTGAGTTATGTCTCCAAGTTCTTTTTGCTTTTTGTTTTTCAAATAGGGCCTCATGCTAACTGCCTGGGCTGGCCTAAAACTTCTGCCTCCCAAGAAGTGTGCCACCACGCCTGGCTTGTTTTTGAGACAGGGCTTGTTTTTGAGACAGGGCGCCAGTGGCTCATGCCTGTAATCCTAGCTACTCAGGAGGCAGAGATCAGGAGGATCAAGGTTCGAAGCCAGTCTGGGTAAATAGTTTGTGAGACCGTATCTCAAAAAACCCATCAAAAAAAGGGCTGGTAGAGTGGCTTGAGGTGTAGGTCTTGAGTTCAAGCCCCAGCACCATGCACACACACAAAAGCTAGACCACACAAAGCACTTAAGCTGGTAGCTATCAAATGGTATCCAGTAAATGTACTGGAAGACTACTACTGAAAAATTTATTCCAGAGAGCATGAGAAGGCAATGGTTAAAACAGGTGAGCAACACATCATTTAACTTTTATTCTTTAGGAAAGCCTAAAGATCACAGGTTTTGGCTCATGGATTATTATAACCTTGCACCACACCAAGCTCCCAGGCTATCGTCTTACCTTCTCTTCTAGTCAAAGAATTGCCTCCTCACTTGGTAGGAGTTACTTGGCTTTTAAACTATTAAAGTTATACAAACTCTACTCTCTAATATTCCACAGAATATATGTTGATGGGATTGTCAGTTCATAGCCAGGGTAAGGAAGGGGTCCAATAAGACACATACATGAGTCATCCCCTCAGAAATCTTGGTCAAGAACCCAAGACTGATTTAAACTACAGGAAAAACAAAGAACCAGCAGAGCAGGAACAAGAGAATAGCCCACCAATTTTGAAGGTGTGTAGGTCCATTCTTCTTGATGTTAGTCATTGATGTTAGAGTTACCTTGAGTTGGAAGATGATGAGCAAACTACACCTTTAAGGGAAAAGCAGCAGGTAACATCTGTACCAACAAACTGGGACAAGATTAAACTCTGTCTAAATAATGGACTAGCTGCTGAGCAGAAAGGTACATACACCTGAGAGATTCAGTCAGTCACTAGCTAGAAAGAATGCAACAAGGGGTAAGGGAGGGGGCTGGGGGAAGAGGGGAGAAATAACCCAAACAATGTATGTACATATGAATAAAATAAAAATTAAAAAAAAGAATGTAACAAGAACAATCAGTTCCAGAAAGGACTTGCCTTATGAAACAAGGAAAGGAATAAATGAGAAGGATCAGAAAGAATTCAAGTTAGTGCAGTGCACAAAGAAGGCATTCTGAAAATAAAGTTGGACTCAGGTACTTCCCACTGGTTCCACACCACTGGGGGAGGATGGGGAAGATCTTGGGGACAATGACCTCTGCACCATCTACTCCTGGTGAAGTGAAACACCTTTCTTCTCAAGAGAAACCAGGAAGAATTATTCAGCCAGGTCTGCATAATCAGGAGACAGTCAGACAAGATCATAGGGAAAGTATGCAAGATACAATTATTTGAAAACTGCAAACCTTTTGTTAGTGAAGACTAGTGTAAACTACTCTATTGTAACTTGGAACAGATCTCTTTGGAAATTGCTTTCTCTTTTTTTTTTGCTGTTTTTTTGCTTACTTTTTGTTTGTTTTTAAGTCAGGGTCTTGCTAGGTAGCCCAGGTTGGCCTCAAACTCACGATCCTCCTGCTTTAGCCTCTCAAATACTGGGATAACAGGTGTGTACCAACATGCCTGGCTCACTAACCATTTTGTAAGTTAAAAGGTTCTATAATCTCCTTTTTCTTAGTTTATAACAAACACCTGTAAAACACAGATAGTCTTTATGAGAGAAGGAAAATTAAAATGAAAAGCTGAGCACACTGTTGAAAGAAAGGTGATGGTATCTTGGCTATTACTTCTGGTTTAATTAACTGTCTCTTATGAAGTAGTTTTTTTTTTATTGTTT